ACATTTCTAGCCTCTGCTTGTTTTGGCCTCGCTAATGGCCTCTTGCCTACAGACACCCAGGTGTTAATTCTACTCCTATACATAAAGGTTAGTTTCCCCCAAAGTCTACAGTGCAAGGATCTCAGGCAATGACCCAACATCCCAGAGACACAGCTATCCCTTGTTGGGCCACTGCCTGACCGACCCCTAAACAGCCAGTCCAACCCCCAAGACAGTGACTAGAGTTAACTGTCTCAACTTATCAGTTCTGTAATTCCTGGACCAATATGTGACTATTGCTGCCACAGGGGTACAGAGAGACTCCAGATGAAGATATTTTCCCTTACCACCCTACCACCCCCAGCTAAGACCAAGACTTATCTGTCAAGGGCACCCACCTATGCCACTGACACCTTTACCTAGAACTACTGGAGCATCCAGTGGCCAGGCTCTGCATCATATCCAGCAACTGGTCCATGAACTGCAGCTGCTTCTGGGGACACTCACAGCCCTGGCAGGGAAAGCCACATATATTTGCCACTAGACCCAGGTCAGGCCTAGACAACTGTTCCAGATGCCCGATCCTATGCTGCCCTTGCTGTGGCCAATGGCAAGCGACCTGGCCAGACAGTTCCTCTTTCCTGTCCCTGACCCTTGCTGGTAGCCTCTTGATTTGGCTCAGCAATAGCATCCTCAGACTTCTGCCACAAAGTGCTCCTTCTGAGGCCACATTTCAGGCTGCAATGACACCTGGAAGCACACTGCAAATGCAAAACGCAAAATGTTGTCAAAACATATTACAGTGTGAGTTTGTCACACAGCCAGAGGGGGAAAGCTTATTGAATGGGTGGGTGGCATGCAGCAGGGCCTACTAAAGCAGAATAGAGCTCACAGGGATCTGATGGTAGCCTATTCCACAGGGACACCTCCAAGCAAACACCTCAGTCAATCCCTTCTGGCCACGAATGGCAGAAGCCAACAGGTACAGCATGAGGCCTGGAGGTGGCCTGTTCTCCGGCAGGGGCCCCTAGACTTTCCATCAGGAAGGCTACAGGTTTCTGTACAGCAACTTGTGCAGGGCTGACCAGGTCTCCTGCTTGCCCATCTGCCCAGGTGATGCAGGGAGCTGCCCAGTGAAGAGTCCAAGGCTTGCCTTCTTCTAGAAAGTCGGTGATTCCCCAGGAGCAGACACTATCTTAGAGGCCATGACCGCTCCACAAATTCCTGTGAAAATAGGGCACCAAGCAAGGCCTATTCCCTTAAGTGTACCTTCTTACCACCCTGGCCTGGCACACACAATTCTGAGGAAGACTAATCAAAGAGTCACTCAATCACCATCACCAGTGCAAAATCACCTTGAAGAGCAAACAAAGACTGAAAGCTGGTGGTAAATGCAGATGCTGAAGTGAAAGGAGCCAAGTGGTCCCTGGAGAGGAGTAGTCACAGAGAAAGCCCAGTTCCAAGATTCACTGCCACCGAGTTGATGTGGGATGTCCTTTTGTATATGTGTTACTCTTATTGATTAATGAATAAAACTGCTTTAGCTTATGGCAAAGCAGAATATAGCCAGGCTGGAAAAATAAGAGAGAGTAGGCAGAGTCAAGGAGACACCATGTAGCTGCTGAAGGAGCCAGATGCTGGAACCTTACTGGGTAAGCCACAGCTTCGTGGCTATATACAGAACAACAGAAATGGGTTAATTTAAGATGTAAGTGTTAGTTAATAAGAAGCCTGAGCTAATAGGCCAAACAGGGTTGTAATTAATATAGTTTCTGTGTGATTATTCAGGTCTGGGCAGCCAGGAAATGAACAAACAAACTCTGGCTACAATGAGTGAGTTAGCAAAACACATTCCAAACATCTTCAAACATCTTCAAACTGACACTTGCTTCTGGGACATTTTATTTTACTTTATTTTACTTTCTTGTTCACTCAGTCTCCCCATTTACCCAAGAAACACACCTGCAGGACAGCCGGGGGTAAAAGGTATTACACTGCTTAAACTGGAAACAGTCGAGACAAAAACACAAGTGCAGCTGTCATTCAAGACCTCACAAGGCTTTTGGTCACTTAGTAGAGAGTTAGCTCCATTACCTCCCCCATTGCACGCTCTGGAATGGTTGTGTAGCCTGCTTAGGGTTTCATCATCACAGACTTGCCCCATGTAGTCCTGCTCAATATCTCCCAATGAGCTCCCCAAAGCCACTTACAACCCTTCTGGATGACCTTACAAGACCCTAGGTAGAGTTAACCTCCAGCAGGCTGGTCTGTGGTTACCTTACTAAAGCCCATAACTAAACCATACTCTGTCTCCTCTCTGCTCCCAAGCAAAGGGCAAAACCCAACAATCACACTCTGGGAAGGTCTAAAGAAATGGTAAAGTGTGAATTTTTATGAATTCATTCTTCAGACCTTACCAGAGTATGATTGCTGGGCCTTGTCCCTGCCTCTACCTTACTACATCAGCAAATCCAGTGGGTCTGGCCACTCCTCTACTTTCCCCATTATCACTGGCATTCAAGCTATTATTTCACATGCTTGGCCACTGCTGTAAACTGCGAACAGGTCCCTCAAGGTCTATTCTATCTACCCCATCTTCACATCTTAACCATGGCTATTTCTGTCAGACGAAACAGAAATTTCTGTTCCTTAGCTCCAAGTTCCCTAGGCCACCACCTTACACACACTAAACCCTTCTCTGGCCTACAAAGGCCATCACACCTGCCCAGTCTGTTCTGTTCCCTTCCCTTGTTTTCATTTGGCTTTAGCCTAATCAGCCTTTTAACAGTTGTTTAAGCATATCAAGCACAGACCACCCCAGGGCCTTTGCACTTGCTATTTTCCTAGATGTTCTTTTTTCATTTAGAGACATTGGTTTTTGTTTCAGTTTGCTAAAATTTAATTCAGTCCACAAATTTTAAAGTATATAGTAACATGACAGGATAGTCAAAGAACAAATTGGCCATCACCATAGTCAATTTTTCTTTACAAATTTATTTACTTATGCTATGTGTCTGGCTGTTTTGCCTACATGTGTATCTGTGTACCAGATGTGTAAAGCACCCAAGGAGAGAGAAAAGGCCATTATATCCCTTGGAAATGGAGTTACAAGTGGTTGTAAGCAACCATGTGGAGGCTGGGTAGGACTCTAACTGACTCTAAACCTATCCTCTGAAAGAGAAGCGAGTACTCTTAACCATTGAGTCATCTTTCCATCCCCATGGTCACATTTTAGAAACATATCTAGAACCCCCAAAACAAATTCTAGACCCATTAACAGTCATTTCTTATTGCCTCCTACCTGAGCCCCTAGCAATCACTATGTGCCTATCTTTCTTTGTGGATTCACCTCTTCTCAACAGTCTACACATAAGGAATCTTGTAACCTTTTCTTATGACCTTATACTACCATTTATTATCTGACTGCTTTTCACTTAGCATCCTCAAAGATCATCTACGTTGTCACATGTAGCTGTGATGTCTTCTTTCTTGAAAATTATCTCACTAGTAAATGGGCATTAAAGGGCACTTCTACTTCTGAGCCACTATGAACATTCACAGTGAATTCTGGCACATGTGTGTTAACTGTCTTCTACAGTAGCTGCACAATTTTATGTCTCTATTAGCAATGTATGAGGGTTCTTGTCTCACCATCCTTGTTAGCCTGTGTTATTTCTTTCTACTTCTAGACATTATGGTATGAGTGGAGCATAATACTGCATTCGTAATTTTCATTGTTCTTGTGATCAGTGATAAAAAGTATCTTTTCGTGAACCTCTTGCTAGCTTTTCCTCTCTGCCCCATTGCTATTGCATCAATCATGCAAATAGTTTGTAGCTAGAGGATAGTGGAACTGAAAGCCTTAGAGATATGGCATCGAAGAAAGAGATGAAGAAAATGACTACATAAATCGGTTTCAGAAAGTCTGAACCAGCCCTCTCTGCACCGCTGACTGACTACTAAGCCAGGGGAAAAGCCAGGCCCAGGTCTGAGGTTCACCACTGGGTGGCGCATACAGGATGCATGGTAAGAAGGTGAGCTGACAGTGGAAGTTCAGGCCAGAGAGGAGGGATGGACCTGGCTGCATAAACTAAAGCAAGTCTGCTGGAACACATGGATCTCAACTCTCCATGAAATTTAACAAGATTCAAATACTAGCCACCATGTCCAGGAAAAAAATCCATAAAAATCTGACCCGTGAAAAGCCATGAAGACCTCAATTTGCGTTAGAAAAGATGTTCATTAGACGCGAGGCAGATGAACTGACAGTTTTAAGCAGCCATCAGAAAAAATGCTTATACAACTGTGAACAAGAAACAAAAAACATGAAGTATCAGTAAAGAACCAGAAGAGAAAGGAACCATGTGACAACTTCAAGCAAAAAGCAAAACAAGAGAAGTATGGCCCACTGCATATTGGGAGATACAGTTATACTTATCAGTGTTAATGTACTGAGGTAACAAATGTTCCACAGTGAGGGAGGTCAAATGGGGCCAGTGACAGAAAACAGATGGGAATTCTATGTTCTTAATCTTCAATTCCCTGTGAACCTGCCCTACTTAAAAACAAACCCTCACTGGAGAGACTCAACAGCACAAAGCAGCACATCCTCACCAAAAAATGGTTCATTAGTTCCTCAAAACTGAAAACAGAATTACTACATACCTAGCTCATATCCAAGAGATATGACAATGGGGATCAAACAAAAACACACAGACTGTCCACAACCCGTCACTCACAACAAATAATTGGAAACAATTATTTGAAATTTAGACATTTTAACGGTAGGGTAGGGTTTCTCTGAATTAACTATGAGGTAGGTCAGGGACCCTCAGGTAGGGTAAAGTACATGGGTTTGAGAGCCACAGTCCTGAGTTGTAGGCCTAGTTCAGCCACCACGTGATCTCAAGTGAGTTTCTGATACCTAGTTGGGAAATGGAGCTAAAAAAACATTGTCTGCTCAGGATGGGTGTGACAGTGACTGAAATATATTACCTATCTTGATACTATATATTACGTACCATACTAGCCAAGTATGACATCAGCAAGTGAGAATACACTCTGTCCTTTTGATCATCATGAACCAGATATCCACCTCTATTTCCATTTCTACTACAAGCCTCCCCATTCTGTCTATCTCCCTCAGAGATTTCTGGCAGCGCTTAACCTAGGGACGCCTAGAGAAGCAATCTTGCCAGGCATGCAGGCTCTGGAGCCAGAAGCCTCTCCCATCCACTCACCAGCCTAGGACAAAAGCATGTGCATCCTCTGTAGGGAAACAAGAGGGTCCTTTCTTACCATCAGAAGATCCCGGTCATCTGGTGTACATAACATCAGCTCATGGCCTAGCTTCACCATCTCTGTTAGAATACAAAGACCTTGTCACTACAGACACCCTCTCAAAAAGAGGAGGATACAAGACATCCCAGAACTAAGAGCAAATAGGGTACTACTAAGGCTTCTCTTTCTAGATATGTTTACAGACACAGAAGTAAATGAAGGGTTATTCACCATACTCTGTACACAAGACATAGATGATCAGTTGCCTGAGAAGCCATCAGAAATTAGAAGGACTCCGGCATGCACCACATGTCACCCTTTTAGAGACTTCATGAAGTTAAAACAAAATGATCCATGGCTCACATCTGTCCATGTCCCAAATGCCTTTCATTCTCCTGACATGTCATCTTGAAGGTGAGTCTAGGCTCTATTTTACAGATAAGGAGTCTGAGGCCTCACAAGGAACAGGAAACATTTAGCACATCTTTGCATGGCTATCTAGTATATAAACAAAGGCCAGAAAGTAGTGTTTCAGAAGTACCTTCAACCCCTCACGGGCCAGGCTATGCCTCAGCAGCAACAGAGCAGGTGTAAACCTGTGTAGGACATGTTATGAAAGACTCACTGGAAGAAGTGGCAGAGAGTATCTATGTGGCCCTAGGAATACTCTGCAGATGCCACTGTGTCCCCACACCAGCCTGCTTCAACCACAGCCCTTAAACCCTTTTGACCCTGTCTTCCTCCTCTCAACAAATTCTGCAGAGCACACCTTTCCACCCATTCCCCAATATCGTGCCTCAGTCACTGCAAGAGCTGTACTGCTGCCTCCGTGTTCCTATGTTTACTACAGTATCCCCACAGAGCCTGATGAACCCAAAGGAAGATAAAACCTGTAGTGGCATTTCATTCCTATTTTTATAAATAAAGCTTGCCTTAAGATCAGGGAGTAAAACAGCCACACTGGTCATCAGACCAGGTAGTGGTGACACACACCTTTAATCCCAGCAGCCACATCAGTTTGCCATGGAAACCAGGTGGAAGTGGTGCATGCCTTTAATCCCAAATCTAGAGAGGATTATAAAACAGCTCACAGACACAGTCTCATTCTGAGAGTCCTGAAGGCAAGATGTCCATTTTCAGACTGAGGTAGAAGTAAGAGCCAGTGGCTGGATGTTTTGCTTTTCTGACCTCCAGGTTGAACCCCAATTTCTCTCTCTGAGTTTTTATTAGTCATGTTTCAGCCTTCCTTGGAATAAAAGCCAATGCCCTTCCATGATCTATAATGCCTAGCAGGCGCTAACCCTATCCCATCCTGATTTCCAATCCGCCTCAGCCGTCTTTGTTCCCTGCTCTTCCTCAAAGCTGCCAAGCATAGCCCAAATCAGTGTTTTGCATTTGCTGTTCCCTTGCCTTGAACAGTACTCTCAACCTGACTGATTTCCTCCCTTCTGCCGTCTTCTCAATAAGACCACCCTTCTTCCAACTCTCCCTAAGTCACCTTTCTTTTTTAACTGGCAGTTTACACCCTTCTCAGCAGCCTATCACTGAGAAGTTTTGTCTTCTTTAGTCAGCATCTGTTATCCATCATCTGATATTTAGGTTCCACAAGGGTGACACAGTACACTACTGTACCCTAGCACTTCAAACACTGCCTCACGTGTCAGCCAAACTTGAGAACTAACCACTACCTGTCCTTGTTTCTACTTCCACTCTGACAAGTACTCAATACATTCTAAGGAGATGACGGAGGCAAAGGCCTTCATCTTCACAGAGGGAAGTAAAAGCTGGATCTAATGAAGTTCAGACTGCAGGCTAGGGCTTTCCAGAGAAATCAAGTACTGTTTCCGAGCCTATGAGTGGAATCCTGCCAACAGGAAACACCCTACTGAATCCAAGAGGGCAACTCTCCCCAGATAACTGATTTGGCAATGCCAGTTGGTGCACAGTTAGAGGCTCAAGTTAAGTTCACCCACCCTGCAGTATTCTGAATACACACAAGCTGATGGAAAGTCTTTTAAATTTTATCAATGTTTGGCCACACTACAAGGAAGGAAAAAACCCTACCCTTTTACACAAATTGCATTTTTGCTCATCTTCATCTAATTTTCATACCAAGTTAAAGAGACTTTCTACAAAAACCCATCAAACTAATAAGGTTACAAGGCAAATCATAGCAAGGAGCAATAGGGGACTCATGGGAATACCATGTGGACAGAATATGCACACAAACCAGTGAAAAGAGACGTCTGATAACATCAAAACAATCATGCTCTCTACGTCTCAGTGCTATGATGGGCCAATGTATTATTTGGTCTTGTGAGAAGCCTCCCATACACCGTATCAGGGAAGGCCCTGATTCTAGAAGGCTCTAATAATAAGCACAGAGCATACACCATACAAAATAAAAGATCACTTCATAGAAATTTCACAACTCAGGAAGACACTGTGACCAAGTTCAAAATTGTCCAGAATTCACCATCAAATGTCACACTCCCATAAAGAGACCTACCCTGTATCTTCATATCCCCTGCAGTTCCTTTCAGTGAACTGAACTTGTCCTGCAAGGAGGGACAGACCCTGTGGGAAAATAGCAAAGTCGGTCAGGTGCCTGACTCATCACCCCTCCATAACTATCCTCTAAACAGAGAATTACCTGTACAAGCTAAATGCCAGTGAAAAGACACTTTTAAGTGATTTGTTTAGTATCATGTGATTATTACCATCAATTATTATGGGAAAATACTTGAGAAAAATTTCCCTCAGAAATGTGAATACTCAAAGTTCTCCCACACAAAAATGGTGGGTGCCGGGCTGGAGAGATGGCTCAGAAGTTAAGAGCACAGGCTGCTCTTCCAGAGGACCCAAGTTCATTCCCAGAACCCACATAGTGACTCACAATCGTCCATAATAAGATGTGGTACCGTCTTCTGTCTTGCAAGCATCTATGCAACCAGAATACTGTATATGTAACAAATAAATAAATCTTTGTTTTAAAGTGATGTGTGCACAAGAAGGGAAGACTTTGGAACCTCACAATCTGGCCTGAGCGCACACCAACTGGGGCATTCACTTTCCATTCAATCCATCTCGCTCACTCCTTGTCAGTCTGGCCAGCCCTGATTCAAAGGTCTTCCAATGAACAATGACACCTCTTTGGCCAATGGGACTTCCATGGGACTCTATTGCCCTCTTGGAGTGAAAGCTGGCTAGGACCAGAAACTGGCTTTCCCTTAGGTATCCCTGGAGCCTAGGACATCTCTAGGCAATGACCAACACAAAAAATGAGGCCAGTGAGTATATAATGAAGGAACTATGGTTGCCTCTACCATTAGTAAATACCAATGCTATATACCCTCTTTTTAGAGAAGGTCATTTTATAGTTTTTTGTTGTTGTTGTTGTTTTTTGTTTTTCAAGACAGGGTCTCACTCTGTAGCCCTGATAGAACTCACCAGTCTGGCTTGAACTCAGAGATCCATCTGCTTTGCCTCCCAGATTAAGGGCGTTTGCCATTGAGTTCTGTTTCATTTTACGCTTTTCAAAATCCCCAATTCAATCCATGTGGGATAAGCCCACACGTAGGCTCCCAGTTTGGGTTTTAAAAAAAGTTCATTGCTACATCATCCCATCCATTACTGATGATGCTGTCTCTGCTGCTTTTGGGCTACCCTGGCAAGAGTGAGTTGGAGCAGCAGCAGCAGCTGGTCATTCATAGAAAAAAGTCTTGCTGAGCTCTGCTTTGAGACCCTTGAAGGCTCCAAAGGAAAAGGCTCTGATCACAAGACTGTGCAGCCCTGTCCTTGAGGGAGGCACACAGATAAGCATAACAATGAGGCCTCAGTGAGCTGCAAGCCTTGGAAGAGTTCCTAGCTGGGTAGAAAGGTTCTACAGAGAAAGGCAAGGGAGAAGGCCTCCAACAACTCCCATTCCCTCAGAAAAGCCCATCCAGCCCTGATTTCCACCCCTGGTTTGGCTCTGGAGCCTTAGAATATGTTTTTGCCCCCCACCAGCCCAAGGAGCTAGTCACCTAAACTAAGAGCTCTGGATGTAGGTAAAGCAGGTAACCCCCAGACAACAAAATGTTCTTTCTGTAGGACTATTGTATCACCTTGGTGATATGTGTGGCCTAGACCATAGTATCTGGGCCTGTTGACCCAATATTGTGGAAAAGACACAGTGATTAAACAGGACTGACTTTTTCTTTCCTGGAGTCATACTTGCCCCCAGGGTTGCAGCAGAGACAGGTATGGGACCAGGCTGCCTTAGAAACACTGCCCCCAGGATACACTAAGGAAAGCCCTGGTTCTTTGAAAGTTGGGGTGAGGAAGAACAATCTAGGAAGCTATTTTCTGTTACTGGGTTTTTGGATCATCAGGTGCCCATCAAGCCAACAGTAATCATAATTCCATAAACATAGACCACATCAAATCCCAACACAATCACAAGCCCAGGGCTTTCATTAAAGTTCATCGTGTACTGTCAGGACTACTTCTCCACCATCTCGGCCAAGGCTCTGTAGCCAGCACTGTTAACTAACCAGCTGCTCTCCTGGAACCCTTTGAGAGGACACATTCCCATGTTCCCCCCAGGAGACACCCCAAGAGAAGGAAAAGAATACAGAACATTACCGCATACACATCCATTCCAGTATGTCCAACCGGTACTTTGAGGGCCTACATAGCAGATCCAGAATTGTCTTTGGCTCTGCAATATACAGACCATCAAGGAAGGGGCAGCTTACAACCTAAGCAAGGAAAGGAAAAGTAAAAAGAAAACCTGTTACTGTAGGGTAGCAATGCATTTCTGTCAATTCGTGCTCAGGACCCCTTCCTAACCCTTCCACACACTTCCCACCTCCAAGAGCATGGTGCCAGCCAGAAGCACCTCCTGGTCTTGCCAAAAGTTCAAGTCCCTCTCATCTTCACCCAAGCCTCCTGTGACTTGCTACACCACCACTTTTAAATGTGTTCCCTCTGGGCTCCATGGCCACAAAACTAGGAAAATGCCTAAGAGTGGGTTAGAAAGACTAACATTAAATCTGAGGGCTGGTGGATGGAGAGTGAAGGTGATCAGAGTCAAGGGCAAGGGGAGATGGGAGGGAGGTTAGTGAGGGGGACAAGGGTCCTGGACTAGCTCTCTGACTTTACACTGCTGCACGTACCTTAAGTGCACCTGGAATCCCTACCTCTAATCCAGCAAAATGGCTGTCCCCAAACCCAACTCCACCCACTTCTAACTCTTTGAGAGTGAGGCCTACACCCTCCATTTCTTCACACACTCCAAGTTCTCAGCCTCAATATTACAAAGTTCGGTGGAGACTGCATGAGCAGAGGTCCGGGAACCCAAAGAGCTAAGACAGACAATCCACAAGTCGCCCCTAAGGCTTTGCCAGGACCCACCACTGTGGATACCTGTGGAGTGGCCAATTTTCACAGAAAGCTCCAGAAGGCCTTGAGGTAGGGCCCTGCCTGGTCTCCCATCCTGGAGTCCCTGGCTTACAGTACCTTCAGCTTTTCGAACACCTCCACAGCCGCCTTGACCACACGGTCATCGCCCACATCATCGCAGTAGCTGTCACCAGAGCCGCTGCCGCTACTGGCGGCTGTACCCTTCTCCGCCATGTTTTGCGTTCTGAAGCACAACCGGTTCACGCCCCCAAGCTTACAGGCCGCGACCACACAGCTACGCTTACAGCAGTTACTTAGGTCTTCCCGCCCACTAGTCTGCGTGCGGCAGGGGCGGAGCCACCCGTCAGTCCGTAGGGACAGAGGCCCACGCTCTTTCTCACTGAGCCTTCCTATTGGGCTGCAGCTCGGCCATTGTCTGCGCGCGCCTCAGGGAGCAGAGTGCAGCGAAGAGGATTGGGCAAGAACAGGACAGAGGCGGGCTGAAGAGAGGCGGACTAGGAGCAGCGGGAGTGGGGCGGGGGCGGAGTGGGAGAGGGGGAGTGGGAGTGGGTTGGGGGCGGAGCGGAGGGGTATCGAGGTGGCACAAGAACTTGGCAAAGCCAGAGGAGCTCCTTTAAAAAGCAAAAGCGTGGGACTCCTACAGGTCAGACTCTTCCAGGAGGGGGTGATCCTGCTTTGTTCGGGTTCTCTTTGGCAATAACAATTGGTACCTAACGGAGGAAGGCAAGGTTTGGTAGAACTAAGACCTGAGCAATCCATCTTGTTTCCTTGGCACACGAAGTCAGTGGGAAAGTTCTTAAATTCGAATCTGACTGTGTCACTCACTAGCTGTATAACTTTTGTTTTTGTTTGTGTTGCGTGTTTTGTTTGGGGGCTTTTGAATCAGGATTTGTAGCCTAGGCTGACTTCAAATTTGTGATCCCCCTGCCTCAGCCTCCAAAGCACTGTGATGACAGGCATGCACCATCACACACAGAAAATTGGATAACTTTGAGCCAGTTACCTAACTTCTCTGTGCGCCCTTACCCTTGGATAAAGGTTGGATGATGAGACTGCTTGTCTCGTTAGTTTACTAAAGAGAATGACAAGAGGCAATACTTTCTATGAAATTCCTAAGGCTGAGCCTGACACGTTAACGGTGCCTGTAAGTGCTCATATTAGCATCATGCTGGGTCTCACACACCTTCCTAGTTTTGGCTTTCGTGGATGCTCTTGTGCCTCATGCCTATCCTGTCCAGTTAAAAATCTATCTCTGGCCTTTCAAGCTCAACATATTTAGAGAAATAGTAGTCAGCCCCCTTATTCCTAGAACTCCAAAAACACAGTTTGCTATGATTTCAACCCGGGATCAGGTGATTGGATAAGGCAAGAAGGAATTGAAGGGTGATTGTTGCTCAGGAGTTAAGATCCAGAAGCCATCTATTGCACTCATGTGCACGTCCTCTGTGCGTTGTAATGCCATCTCCTCAAAGAGGAATCATGAAGGGAGATCAAGAAGCAAGAAAAAATGAGGTATGAGGCACATGCGTGCAGTCCCAGAGCTTCCATGTGCACATAGAAGGATCACAAATACAAGGGCAACCTCAACTACATAGTAAGTTCCAGTCCACCTTGAACTACTTGAGACTGTGCTCCATAAACAAAGAAACAAACCAAAAGAGGCATAGAGTCTGGGGAGATGACTCAATCCGTGTTTGTTTTTAAAATTGGGATAAGGAGCATACATGTAAGCCCAGCTATGAGAAGATGATTCCAGCCAATTGATAAGCTTTCAGTTCAGTGAGAGACCCTGTTTCAAAAAATAAGATGGAAGGCTGGAAAGATGTCTCGGCCATTAAGAACACTGCTGTTCCTCTTTCAGAGGACCCAGGTTCAGTTCCCAGCACCCACATGGCAGCACACTACCATCTGTAAATCCAGTTCCAGAAGAACTGGGCACTGTATGCATATGGTGCATAGACATAAAAAGAATCATTCACAAATAAGGTAAAGACCAACTGAAAAAGAAGCCCAACATCAATGTCCAGCCTCTAGATTCCCCATACCCCCACATATATATGCATGCGCACACCAGAGGGCTGAGGAGGGGGAGTGTTGTTAGCGTACTGAAACCCTCTGACTG